GTGATGAAGTAAAGACCGGGGTCATGCTGTCCGCTGATCTTCTCCCTACTTCTTTTATCACGCCTTCAGCCATAAAACGGGTTCTTATACAAACAGTGAACTGAACAGACTCTCTTTGTGCTGATCTCTACAGTCAGTGTCCTGGGGATCAGTGGTCCGTCAGCAGCTGTCTTCACTAGGATTTTCGGGCTTCAGCAGGTGAGAAATGAACATGTTCTTAGCTTTTAAAAATCCATTTTTGCCAACAGCGCATTCTTCTTTTTACAGGAAATAACACAGGAAACGGAGTAAACTTAGATGCTTTGGTCTTCCTTTCAGACCTCAGATGAGTTATGGTACAGCAGCATATTTAACTTCAACCCCCTGATTATCATAGCAGCAAAGTTAACAATGAGGACGTGGAAGGTCAGACTTCACAGACAGCAAGTTATTGAAACATTGTTATACAGTGGGTATGGAAAGTATTCAGACCCCCTTAAATTTTTCACTCTTTGTTATATTGCAGCCATGTGCTAAAATCATGTATTAGCTCAAAAGGGTGCTTCTACTAAATACTGAGCAAAGGGTCTGAATACTTATGACCATGTGATATTTCAGTGTTTCTTTTTTAATAAATCTGAAAAAATGTCAAACATTCTGTGTTTTCCTGTCAATATGGGGTGCTGTGTGTACATTAATGAGGGAAAGAATGAACTTAAATGATTTTAACTTCCTATGAGAAGTATTAGTAACAAGTAAAATATTTCTTCAGTGTTTTGGTTCAGGAGGTATAAGTAGAGGATGTCAAAGAGCCAAGTGATGAAGGAGCTTGGGCTGAACAGAACCTCAAACCTCCAGGTACCTTCCCACTTACCTCCTTCCAACTTTTTTTGATGTTCAAGTTACAGATTTTAGAAATGCATCCATGTGATCCTGATTCATAGGTGAATTGACTGTTTTGCAGTCTGCAGGTTCGGGCCAAAAGTGGCACGGCTCCACTGTCAGTTTCCACAACATTTACTACAAGGTGACACAGGGAAGAAGCTGTCTTTGTCGGAAGAAGGCATCCAAAGACATCCTCATCGACCTCAAGTGAGTGCACTGTGATTTCTAAAACTGTGGCTTTGGGTCCCAAAATGTGTCACCACTGTCTTGTATCTTAGAAGCTACATTTTATGTGTAAACTTAAATACATAAATGTCACAGAAAGTGAAAAAGCATGTCAGGAATGCTCCATTTTGGATTTGTATTGCTGACTCCTACCTGGAAACTATTCCCCTTTTGTGAAGCAGTTTAAGCTCTGGTTAAACACTATACTAGTTCTCTTTTCCCTAGAGATCAGCACATTGCAATTTTGTGTCACCGAAGTTCACTAAAGTTCATCTCAGTGCAAGAAATGAGTTCATATTTCCTTATCTTAAGTTAGTCTGCGTTCTGATAAGAGACCACCAGGGAGGTCAGTGTGACCAGATCAAGGCCCACTTGGTCAAACACACACAAGCCCACAAAAGAAGGAAGTTTGGTTCCCACTTGTTCTCTGTAACATATACAGAAACTTAGATGAAAACAGTGGCTCTCAGCCTAAACCAACAAACACACAGCTGTTTCCATACCTTTGAAACCTGACTTAGTGAGAAAATTCAGGTTGTTAAATTAGCAGCAATGCAGTGACTCTCTAGTAACCTGAAGTCTAACTTTGGATTTTTGCTACTATTACTGCAAAACTAGCAAACATGTTTTTATTTGACTAGCCAGGCTACTGTAGGTCAGCCAAATCACCATTCTGGTCCACACTTACAACTACTGGCTGGACTGGCAAAAAGTCTTGTTAATCACCTGTGGATGGTGGACTGGTGATCCTTTGACTTTTCCACTCAAGCAACGAGCAAACGTTTCAGTTACCTGTGAAATATCTCAGACTTTACCTGATCAGCACAAAACAATCCCTTTGATGAATCCTAACAACTAGTAAGACTTTTCCTCTGGTACCACGGTAATGTTGGCGTTCATAGTTTGAACTGAAATGTCTCAATATTTGAATGGTGCTGAGAGATGTGCTACACACATTCATGCCCCTTTCAAGACAAATTGTATTAACTTTTGTGATGCTTTGATGTTTTGTATAAAGCCATCATGAGGACAAAAATCCTTGATCAAATACCCGCAGAACTAATGACATTCCCATCAGCCTCAGCTGTACTTTGTGCTAATTGTTAGCATGCTAAACTGTGGTGAACATGGAAAACACTTTACATGCTTAGCTTCATCATGTTAGCTTCATTATTGTGAGCATGTTAGCAAGCTGACATTAGCATTCTGGTCAAAGTGAAAGTGTCGCCTCACAGAACTGCTACATGACTGTACAACCTATTGTGTGTTCATCTCTGAAGAATCAAAAAGCTGGAATTTATTCAAGAAAAAATGAATCCAAACTTTTTTCCCATTGCTATTAGACCTCACTGAGAGTTCATATATTGTTTAGCCTGTGGCTGAAACACCAGCACGTGACTCCAGATGTTGATTATGCTCTGTTACGAAAAGGATCAAAGTCTTTGCTTATGTCTGTATGTTATGAAAACTGTAATTGTGCAAAGTGTAGTGAGTGTGTTTGCATAGCTACAATTTACAGCAGGTGTATCTGTGATATTTCACTGTTTAGTGTGTAATCATTGACCAGTCGGAGTCAAAGTTGAAGGTTGGTTCACTCAGCAGTATTTCATAGAAGCTAATCTGTTCAAATGAGAGCGATGCCTGCAGATTGTCCTAACAGCTTGTACAAAAGACAAGTTCACTGTGTTTCAACCCTGCAACTAATTTTCTTAACTATTATTTTTCAACATTAGTTTTGAGATGCTTCTCAAAAGCAGGATAAAACTGCTTTTAGTCAGATGTCGCCAACCATACATTTTTTTAAAGGTTTCATTATAACAGGAGGATTGCAACTAAAATTTTATACCTTTGAAAGTAAAAATAAATGGATCTCAGGTGTGACTCAGTGAGAGTCTGATGCCTGACAGCATTTTGACAAAAACACCTATGTGTTATCAGGAAGACACAGGAAGTTAAACACTGGGATTGATTATGAGTTAAAGATGAGGTGCTGGGTGAACTCCCTTCTCTTTCACTCTGTCTTTGCCTGCTAGTTGTTATTTTCGTATTTATTAACATCAATAATGAGCCACCAAATAACATTTGTTGGCCTCACACACCGTTTTAATGTTCCTGTGCATCAAAACCTTTTGTTTGGTTGTTTTTCTTGCTGCCAGGTTTGAAGAGAGTAAAGATGGGTGGGTTCAACTGAAAACAGAAAGATGAGATTTAAAAAAAGGAAAGAAACAAAACAGGCTCCATCGGTGTTTATGAAATTTAATAACTAACAATGGACAGAGGAAATTGTCCCGCTGGGTTTGTCTGAAACAGAAAAAAAATTCTAAATGTCTCATTGTTTTCTCAGTTTAGTAAAAAACCCATAAAACTCTTTCAGATCCTTAGAGCTTAAAGTACAAATGAGAAAGTGAAAAATGTCGGAGAAAGGATGAAGAGACTGAGGGAACCTTGAGCCAAGACAAAACTGCTGCATCATGGTTGTAGCGTAGAAATAAATCTTTGTCATGCATCATGAAATTAGCTGAATAAAGAACTGATACTTTGGACAGGAGGGAGTCCTCTATCAGTCAGCAAAACATGAGTCAAACTGTTACACAATGGCTTCACCATGACACAACAAACTATCATTATATGCTCAGTTTGATGGGAGAAAAGCCACAAAAACCATTTTCAGTTCCTCAAACACACGACAGCACAGCAGCTGTGTTCACCAACTGTCACTGCACAGAAACACCGAACTGAAACTGCCCCGTCACGTTAAACAACAAAAGGACAAACATCAGCAGCTGTGAAAGCAAGCCCTGTGAGCTTAGCTTAGCATAAACACTGGACACACCGGCTCTAATGTTCATTAATTAACATGTCATAAAACGTCATTCATTTATTTCAATGAAAATATACTGTAATCTTTTCATATATACTATATGATCATTTTTCCACTGCTAATATTCTGTCTCTTCCAGTGGGATCATGAAGCCAGGTCTGAACGCCATCATGGGGGCGACAGGAAGCGGCAAGTCATCGTGAGTGCCATGATGTAGTTATGCTGTAAAGAAGCCAGAGAGAGATGTGGCTCCCATTGTTTACTGATTCAGAGTGTGTTCGGCAAATAGGGCGGCAGCTGCTATGTAAATTATTTTATTTTATTAGGGATTAGGGTTATGAAAGTTGTTTCAAATTCTGAAGGGCGACCATTTTTTGAGGAAGCTTCCTGCTTGGACAGTGTGTAAATTCTAAGCTTCTTTGAATAAAACATGCCAAAAATAAGAGTTGGTTTAACCTGTGAAGCTGATGTGAGCTGGTGTTGTGGATCAGGTTCCTGGATGTGCTGGCAGCCAGGAAGGACCCTGCAGGCCTGTCAGGAGAGGTCCTGATCGATGGAGCTCCTCAGCCTCCAAACTTTAAGTGTCTGTCTGGATACGTGGTGCAGGTGGGTGAGACGGACAGGATGTCAGCTGTACCTCTGCACAAGAACACAATAGCACAGCTTGGATTCAGGAGAGTTTCCTGGTCAGGCAGGAAAGGACTTCACATAACAATAAGAAAGGCTTCGTAGGTCAGCTCTGTTCCAGTGGCATACACCATGTGTTAAATCATTTAACACAGCACCCACAATAAAATCTAATATGAGGTTATCCTAGAAATTAAAGTGCATCCATCAGCAACAACTATTTTGATCTTTTAGTTGTTAATGATAGTTTGTTTACTGCAGGACGACGTGGTGATGGGAACCCTGACGGTCCGAGAAAACCTCAGCTTCTCGGCAGCGCTGCGCCTGCCATCGACCGTCTCTCAGCAGGAGAAGGAGCAGAAAGTCAACAGAGTGATCCAGGAGCTGGGACTGACCCGGGTGGCCGACTCCAAGGTGAGGAGACAGTGATGAGAAAGAAAATCAGAGCAAGTGACAGAAAGAAAGGCAGACAGGAAGGAGATCATCGATACAGAGAACGACAGGAATAAGAGACAAAATGAAGGAAAAATGACAATAACAAAAAAGAAAAGGGACAAAGAGCAAGGAGATGAACAGTGACAACAAAAGGCGCGCAAAAAGAACAAAAAAGTGGTAAAAACAAAA